TTGGTTAATTTTTTATGTGCACCTGTGGGTTCAATATTATGTTGCTATATAGTGGGGTTCAAAGATCTTTGAAAAAATGCTTCTATTTTGGATTTTTCATATTTTATTTGTACATTTTTCAATTCAAATTTTTACTGAATTTAATGCTATATATATATATATATATATATATATATATACATATATATATAGTAATTTTAAAAATAAATCACAATAATTATATTACTGCAATTATGTAATATATAAAATGAAAACTGAATGTTAAATAGCTATTTGTCTGTTGATTAACAATAGCTTAAGATGTATCAGTGAGAAAGGAAAGTCGTTTTTAAAGAACAAGAATAAATACAAATAAAGGTCTTTAATTATTTTTAAAGTGGCAATGCACTCTGTTTTGTGAAAAGCACTATAAAAATACTTGTAAATATGAATAGGATTAATGTTCTGTTCCATCAAAAACTCAGGTACCTCAGGACACGGTCTGACGCCTGGTTGGACTTGGAGCTGTCGCAGGGGTGATGTTTCTCCTGAACCTTTGCCATCTTCTCGGCGGCGGCTATGGGACATCCCGAGAGACTGCAACAACAGCAGAGCAATTTATGTAGTGTTAACATTATGTTACAAGCAGCATGTAAGGGCACACACACATACACACTCCCAAACGCACACACATGCCCTAGCAGATAGCAGAAGTTGAAGAACAAAGTGAGATATGAGGGAATGTATAATACCAGCATATGGAGACAAGTCTGTCAGAGAGAATAGTCAGCTTTTTATGACATTCTCTCAATACAGACTTCCAACATGTTTGCAAAATCCTGTGCGGTACATGGGGATATTTATGTATGAATTATGCATTTCATGTGGCCTAGTTCTATAGTATGAAGGCAAAGCTTTGCAGATATCTGCTGGGCATTTCTGGCTGGCTGGCTTCAGAAAGCTCCTCACAGCGAGATTCCGCAGTCATTTCAGAGAGACACTACAGCAAACTGAGCTTCAGAACATCTAGCTACGCTCCCTTGCTCTCCTTTTTTTCTCCTTTCTCTCTTGCTCTCTTTCTCCCTCGTTGTTTCTTCCTCTCATTACTCTATCTTCCTCTCCGTTTGTTTATCCCTCATTTCTGTTTCATTTCTCTCATTTTTCTGTTGCTTTCTCTCTCTATGTAATCCTTTGTATAGCTGGGAACTGTCTTCTTATCATCTGCAATTTTCGTATTCTGGTTATACGGAAACCATTCAGTCATTCTCAAAAAATACAAAAACTTAACCAACATGAGACAAAAATACAAACATAAAAATCTAAGACATATAGACTAATCTAACACATGAACACACG